AGGCTCTGGGCCTGTTGATGCGCGGATTCTGTCGTTAAAGTGCTGCATGCATTTGCTGCATGCATTTGCTGCATGCATTTGCTGCATGCATTAACCCTTTAAAGAAATACTGAACGCTGGTCATATATATATATATATATATATATATATATGCGTTTGTTTACCCCCTAAGACAATAAACAGGGGTATTTGTTTCCTTGTATATATATAATAATAATAATAAATATATGGATATATTATATATATATGCGTGTACCAATTGAGACAGCAAAGAAGATTTACTCGCAACTGTCTTCAAAAGAATTGTTTATTTAGCGTGTTGTGTTGTGACTCTTCGTAAGGATTCTTCTGTAGCCTATTCACACTGATTTTTTGTGCATTTAGTTTGATAATTATAAATAATATTGTAAAATAGCGTATTATGAAGACGCTCTGGTTGCAGTAGCAAGGGAGGGAGAGGGAGACGGAGTCAAAATGTCTTGTGGTATTGTAGACTAAGCTAAAAATAAAACAAAAGAATAAAAACTAAGTGAATAATTTCGAAGAAATGTTTTGTTGTTCTTCACGGGTGCGTATGCTATTGTTGCTGCTGGTGGGTGCTAGGGCCTGTAATAGGTTGGTAGGAAGTCTGCGAGGAATAGAAAAGGGTAAAAAGGAATAAAATAGAATAATAAATAAATATAATTGAATTTAAATTCCATTTAATATCCTATTTTATACAAAAAAACAAAGTCGTTCAGAACCTGAGCTGTACATACACCGCAATCTCGACGCGCGTGCCTGACTGAGCGGAACGACAGGCGGCGGAGCGACGGTAGCGAAGAGTATAAGAAATTGAGGTAGAAAAGAATAGGAAAATCAATTAAATTAATTCTTTTTCTTCTTTTGATGAAATATATTTCGTATTTATGGTCTAAACGAACCATTAATCGCTTTCTCCCCCTCTCTCCCCCCTCCAATTCACACACATTTTCACTTCCTTTTCTAAGCTTTCTTCTTTCTTTCTTTTGCTTGTTTCTACCGTTTCCTCTTCGTCTTCTTTAACTTTTTCTCTTGAATTACTCTCTAATTGTGCATTTCTTATTCATTTCTCTATTTAATATCCTTTGACATACCCCAATACACCTCCTATTCACACAATACAACTTGCAGCTAATCTTCTTCAGGCTTCTTCTTTCAGCTTCATTTTCTACGCGCTTTACCTTTTCTTTTTCCTTTTATTCTTCTTTCTTTTTTCTTTTAAAATGGAGGCCCCTCCCCCTAAGCGCGTCGCCTTCCAGGGCCCTTGTTATTTAAAAGTATTAGTAAGTAATAGCGTTGCAGGAGCAATAATAGGAAAGAACGGATTAGTAATAGCTCAAATAGAGCAGCAAACAGGCTGCGCATTAAAACTCTCTCCTTCAAATATGTATTATCCAGGAACAGAGGAGAGGATTCTTATTATGAGTGGAGAGCAAGAAGCTCTTAACGACGCGATTGCTGTAGTGCTAGACAAAGTGCTTGAACAGCAGCAGCAGCAGCAGCAGCAACAGCAGCAGCAACAGCAGCAGCAACAGCAGCAGCAGCAGCAGCAACAGCAGCAGCAGCAGCCGCCGCCTTCTCCTGAGAGCAGCAAGAAAGATACAGAAGCTTCATCATCATCATCTACAGCTCAGATGCAAAGGATTACTCTGCGAGTGGTTGCGCCTAAGACAGCTGTAGCAGCAATTATCGGTAAAGGGGGTCAGCAGATAAAAGAGCTGCAAGAAACAACAAACGCGAAGATTCAGGTATCGAACAGAGAAGAAGGTTTAGTTGAACGGATTATTACGGTGTCTGGACACCTTGAAGATGTGCGTGCAGCAGCATTTGCTGTTGCTGCTTCATTGCAGCGCGATTTAAATTTAAAGTCTCAGATGTATGTTGTTTATAAAAATATATCGCCTATTAACGGTGCTTTATCTCTTTGCTACGGGCAGCCGCTTGGGCTTGCAGTTCCTTATCCTTCATTAGCAATACCTCAGGCGCAGCTGCAGCAGCAGCAGCAGCAGCAACTGCAGCAGCAGCAGCAGCAGCAGCAAGAGCTATTGATGTCTCAACCTTGTGAGATATTTCTACATGTTCCTGAAGGTGTTGTTGGTGCTGTTATCGGACGAAACGGTAAATGTGTTGCTGATATAATTAAACAAAGCGGGGCGAGGATCCAAATAAGTCAAAAGGGTGTTTATGCACCAGGTACAAACAACAGAAAGGTAACGATAGCAGGGGGTGTTGCTGCAGTGCATCGTGCGCATATTCTGCTGCTTCAGAGGGTCTTTGCTGCTCATGAAAGTGCAGCAGCAGCTGCTGCTGCTGCTGCTGCAGCAACTAACGGCGTCCTTATATCAACACATCCTCTCTCTTCTCATAATAATAATAATAATATTTCTAATGGTATTGATATCAACAGCACTCACAGCCCTCTTCAGCCTCCGATGCCGTACGTACACCCCCCTAACTACGGCTATTAAACAAACCCTTCGATAATGCTGCTGCAGCAGCAGCAGCAGGAGCAGCAGCAGCAGGAGCGGCTGCAGCAGCAGCAGGAGCGGCTGCAGCAGCAGGTGAAGCGCCAGCTGCAGCAGCTATACCACCACCACCAGCAGAGCAGGAGGATGAGCAGCAGCAGCAGCAGCAGAAGCCGCCGCAGCAGCCGCAGCAGCTGCAGCAGCAGAAGCAGCAGCAGCAGAGGGGTTGTAATGATTACTTCGTCTGTTTTGCTGCATTTGAGCTTTTCTTGAATTGCAGCGTAGACAAGAAAATAATAAACAAATAAAATAAATAAACAAAGATATGAACAAAGATATAAACAAAGATATAAACAAAGATATAAAATAAATATAAATTAATTTACTATGTACTGCAGCAAAAGAAGTCTGAAGCGCTGCTGTGTTGTTTATTTGAACAACAGCAAAGAAAGGAGACAGAGACATATAAAATATAAAGCATATAATATTTATATATTAACAATATATATAATATATAATGTATATAATATGTAATATATATAATATATAATATATAATATATAATTATTATTAAAGAATTTATTATAATTATGTTGTATGAAAGGATTAGCGTAGAAGTAATTGATGCAGCACTTCTAAAAGATTATATATATATATATTTATATATTTATATTAATATTAATATATATTATTTATTTTATATTTGCTTTTATTGTATGCTTATTAATGAAGATGGATATTAATAT